TTATGTAGCCCAGTCAAAAGTAATGCTGCTGGGCAAAAAGAAGACATATAGTATTCAACTTGGAATGACTGTATTCTGGCAAATGGTGGTGCAGAAGGGACTTGACCATTGTGGGTGAGTATCTTGAGTACTTTCAGATAAGTTTCTGATACAGTGCACTATTCAAAAAAGGGAAATAACAGGGAAATGGCCAGATTTTTTATGCACATTTACTGTACGTATTTGAAGACGTTAAGAAAATAAAGGTGGGAGTTTAAAGGTAGGTAGGAAAAACAATCACAGGATTCAAAACAAACCAACATCTGCCTGGGTTCAGAAGATTTCTCTTTCCATTTAGCAGCAAAGATGTTGAGAGCTGCCGTATAGTTTTATATATATATATATACTAACATATACCCATAGATGTGTTCTGCATGTGCAAATTGTATTTAGAGGGAGATGCTGAGAAGATCTGATGGTTTAACAAGATCCAATGGGAACCAGGCTATTTCAGCCTTGAAGCCAGGAGCAGCACTACCCTAGTCAGTTCAGCAGTTAAAAGTCCGAGTTGTAAGAGCTGGTGGAGTCATTAATATTTTAAAATAAAACTAGGGTTTTCTTTCTGTAAGGTGCACTTCAAACTTCTGGGAACAGTTAAGTGGTATATATAGAAAGATTGCAGTTGAATGGCTGTAAATCCATGAGCAATACAAAAAAAACCCCACATATGCAGATATATTTGAGAAGGATAAGTGTCATTCCTAGTCACTCCTAGTTCAAATAGCTGCCTATAGGGCCTGATCACATTTTGTTGTTACCATGCATTGTTTGTATGCACAACTGGTTTAAGCATGGTGGGTGCAGGTAGCCAGTTTCAATTTCTTGTATACATGGGGTTTATGTGGACAGTTCCACTTACTGCAATAGAAGCACAGATGAATTAATTCTCTGGTCCTGTTTTTATACAGCTAATATATTACACTTCCCTGCATGTACATTTGTTTTCATTTAGGGCTCCATTCAGAAAAAATATTACTGATCAAATCTTTGTTTCAAACAGCATGGCAAATGACCACTGAGCTGAAATAGAATTTATGATGTGTTTCTGTAACATCAGTGTGCTTTATGGTGCTCTAGTGAGGGATGGAGAGAGGACTTCTCAAACATTTTCTCCTGACTTCAGGCTTAATCAGCTTAGTGCTTGATTTTCTTAAAGTTATTTCAAGCATAAACACAGGGATAAAATCAGAACTTCATGAAGCTTGTTACTTCAAATTAATTGTGTTCATAGTTTCTCTGTTCTGGATTGCTGCTTACCACTCTCAGATGTGTTCAGAACTTAAAGTTCATTCCTTCTGGTGGCACCACAACAGCCTTATCTGTCTTCCCATTTATTGTTAATGAACTTGCATTTAACCATAAATACCTGGAGAAGATTTTGTCAGGGTTATGCATCAACACTCAGCTTACAGGTTTCTGGGCATCTGCAACTGAAAAAAGATCTTTCCTTGTGGCATTTCCAACACGATCTTGGGAATTTTAGATTAGTTGCTGATGGGTGGGTCTCAGTGGTTTGTTGAATTGATTTCTGGCCACTTGGTTATCTTGAAGCATGGCATGCAGGCAACTTGGAACACATAATAGAGAAGATTTGTCATGATAGAACTTTCCAGAATATTAGAGTTCAGGTTCGCTGTACAAAAATATCAGGGCTTGGAGGCATTCCTAATTGGTGGAAGATGGCAGTCAGTATTGATTGGCAGTCATCTGCATTGGCAGTGGGAGAGGAGCCATCGAGGGTTGTGCAGAGGCTGGCAGGGATGTCCTATGGCTGGATGAGCCAGCAGAGGTCAGAAGGGAAGTGATTCATCGATCGAGCCGGAGGAATTTTGGCACTCTGCTTGGGCCCAGGGACAAACGCTGAATAGCTACCTTATGCCTTTGTGAGAAAAATGATTCTTCCCAGACCTGGTGCATCATTTCCCCATCGTTGTGTGATGGCTGTCAGTCTCTCGCACAGCTGGGCAGTTCATGCATGGAAGAACTTGTTGCCTTCGGTTCTCCCTTAGAGGTTTGTGAACATTAGCCACCCAGAGGCTACTGATCTAGATAAGCATGCTGTAAATTGACACTGCATGTAAATGAGCTCTCATGCTGTGTTGTGGTGATTAATATAACTGTAATGGCACGCATTATCTTTTAAAATTATGATTACCCTGGGAATCATTTGAAGGTAACCTGTTCTGTCTGTTCTCCTCAGGAGAATGTCTGCATTTGGGCTCCGTATGACTTATCTTTGCTCCCAATGCAAAAAAAAAAATTAAAAAAAAAAAAAAATTACAGAGAGCAAACTATATGAGAACTCTCTTCTACCTTGCATTGCATTTCCTGCTATATGTTCTTATGCAAAAAGCCTGCTTTTGACTTGCCATGAGACTGACTTTTAATTTTAATTTTTATTTTTAAATACACGCTCCAGAAGTCTCTCTGGTTTTGTTAGAAGCTTAAGATTCGAATGTCGGTCCTGGCACTTAACTAAATATTGCTGAAACTTTCATTCTTCCATGGTGCTGCTAGGGCAACTGTGTGAAACTTGGATCAACTTAATTGAAATCTTACAGCAATTTGAGTTCAGTTAGCTTGTCATTCTGGTAGTATGTATTTTTCCTTGCTGGTTTTGCTGGTGCCATACTTTGGCATTTGTTCTCGTTTTAAAACTTAACATCTGATAAATGCTTACATTTCCTCAGATTTTTTTGGTACAAATTCCATTAATTGAAATTTGCAGAAGAATTTCATTTTCTTCTTTCAAATGAAGTTTAAGGCAGAATAAAAGCTGTGGACTGCTTTCGATTTTGCTAGTTCCCTGTTTTTGGGGCCAAATGCTGAGAAATTGGGGACTTTCAAACGTGAAGCATTAACCAAAAATACTTTGGTAAGTACTGCAGAATCCCAGGCGTTCAGATGGAAGGCACCAATAGGTGCATTTTTCCCTTTTTACTTGGGAATCCTTTGGGCGTCCTTCTACTGCTTTGTGCTCTGATAAATCACAGAATCATGGAATGGCCTGGGTTGAAAAGGGCCGCAACAATCATCTAGTTTCAACCCCCTGCTATATGCAGGGCAGCCAACCACCAGACCAGGCTGCCCAGAGCCGCATCCAGCCTGGCCTTGAATGCCTCCAGGGATGGGGCATCCACAATCTCCTTGTTCCACTGCCTCACCATCCTCTGTGTGAAAGACTTCCTCCTAATATCTAACCTAAACCTTTCCTGTCTCGGTTTAACACCATTCCCCCTGGTCCTATCATACCCACCTTCATAAACAGCTGTTAAATAAAGACCTCTGACCCATTAGTTCTGATCACTTTCCTCTTCTGCCTGCTCTTCCATCTCAGGGACGATAGAAGGATAGGGTCAGGAATTCCTGGGGACGAACAAACTGTAACATTTGTATATTCCTGAAGTACATGCTTGACTTAGAGAAGTCTTTGTATGTGGGGGCTTTGGAGAGAAGTGGAGGACTCAGGAAAAGAAGTGGAAAGGAGACCATCTGCTGAGCATCAGGTATCATTTGGGAGGTGTGCATATAGGACAGAGTTCAGTGCATCTAAGGGCAGGTTGATAGGTGCTGTATTATTAGGGTTGAGAGCCCTGCGAGTTGACATCCGCTGAAAGATTCTGTCAGAGCGTTTTGCTGTATCTGTAGCGAAATGCTCCCTCTTGTGGCAAATGAAAAAAGTCCAACTGCAAAACCACTTTTTTCTGTACTCGCTGGTTTGCCATATTTGCTCTTCAGTTAGACAGTACTTTTGTTTTCCACTTGTATTCACTGAATATTCCTTGCTAGTATGTACTGTATGTGCTTTCCTACGGTTTTCTGTTGTTCCATCTTATTTGTGCAGCACCCAAATCTCTTTGGTTTACCTTGCAGCTTCTAAAATTTCACTCTGGCTCAATCTGTTTTCATTGCTATCTGGATTGTATTTAAATTCCTGGCTTTAATGTGCTTTCTCATGTTAAATTGCCAGTGTACTGAAGACTTGCCTTACAGACTAACTATAAAATATTTCCAGCTCTAAAAGGCATTGGGATGTTGAAGAGTGTACTAGTTTTGTTGCTTAAATAGATTAATTTGTCTGGACTACCATGGAAGGGTCACGTATAGACAGGATTAGGAGATAATATGCTGCCTTTCCCAACTGTTTGATTAACCAGCTTAGAGACGGGTCAAACACAGTAGCAGAGTGCAAGGAAGGCACTACACCACCTTCAAAGTGCAGAAGAGGCCCTGCAGCATGTTTACAGGTTATAAGATGTGCTGCATAATTATCAGTAGACTCCGTTCAGCACTGTAATTAACCCAGAAAAATACTCTACTTCGGTTTTTGCTGATAGCATGAGCCTCACAAGGCCAAGCACTCTGAGCAAAGTACCTGTAAATAAGATTAAGCAGAGTGAAGCAGCAATGAAATAAAATATGGGCAAAGTGACAAGCAAGTTGTATTTCTTGCCTGCATTTAGTACCAAGTTGTGCATGTGATACAAAATGTCTGTGCATATACTGTGTGAAGAACACTGATAACTAAAGCAACTGTTGACAGATGAGAACTTTAGCAGATGTTAATGTATTTCCTGGGGCAAAGGAAAATAAAGTATATGAAAACCCTTGTCAATGCATACTGATGGCCATGCCTGTGACCTAGCAGACCTTGATGGCCAGTGGAACAGGGAATAAAGTGGTGGGCTCATGTGGAGCATTGGGAAGTCAGCAGTGATGGCTCACTGGGTAATGCTGGGATGTCCCTAGAAAGAAGCAAAACATTTAAAGAAGGTTAAGAGCCAAAGTTGGTGGTAGATTTGTGAAGTGATAGGTTCCTTTGACCTGTGCTGTTGCTAAGAAGCTTTGTCAGACATTGAGCAATAGAAATACTGCTTCCATGATGAGGATGTCTATAGTAGGCATAGAATCTAGTACCTGTTTGAAAAACAGATCTCACTATTCTTTCTTTCACTTTTCAGGTATCTTGCAATATCTTCAGAACTCTCCCACCTAGTGACAGCAATGAATTTGATCCAGAAGAAGATGAACCCACCTTGGAGGCATCATGGCCACATCTACAGGTTTTTGAGCATTTATTTAATAATAAATGCTTACCATTGCTTAATATATCTAATTTTCAATAACTTTTTTTTAGCCTGTGGATGAGAACCAGTGTATGAGATATAACGAAATTATGAGAAAATTCTGTTTCTACTTCACTGATGGTGTTGTATCTACATGGTATCTACAAAGTATCTACAAAGACAGTAGAGTACTTCATGAATTTGGAAAGTGTTAGAACTTTCAAAACTGGATTGAACTGGATAGACCTTTCAAAACTGGTGTCTCTTGTAGTCCTGTTACCCTTTGTTGATCAATTTTTTTCCCTCACGTTTGTGTGATACACAAGTAATAACAATACTTCCAGCAGTTTTGCTTTACTGATTATAGTTAACATTCATACAAAAGCACACAGGGGTAGGCTGCTGATTAGAAAAACAAATGGGAATCTGTACCTCTGTCTATATCTCCCTTCCTCTCCCTGAGTTGAAGATTACTTTCAGGTGTTTGTAGTGATGTGAGTGCTCAGTGCTGTCTGTCATTGCTTCCTCTGTATCTCAAGTGTCAATGGAAAGTATTTTGAACAAAAAACATAACATAATCTTGGAGCAACTGATGCTATTGCAATAAATTCCTTTATAGAAAGAATCTATTTGGAAGGAATTGCAGACCCTGTCTTTGTTAGTCAGGACTATGACTTACACCACAGATAAATTTAGAAGAAGTTTAGCAGAGAAGCAGTTTGTGGAGTCTAGGATCTGTGAGCAAAGGAGCACAGTTGATCTCAGATTGAAATGAGTATTTTATTTAACAGTTGGATGTACAGCTTCGCCTGTGAGCAGCTTCACTCTCTGATTCTCTTAGATTTGGACTGTCTTGATATGCAGGGTTCATTCCTTACTTATAATAAATTTCACAAAATAAGAATCCTAAAATCTTCAGGAAACCTATGGGCAGCAGAGGCACATGTCTGCTATCTTACTTTCACTGACACTGGCATTGTTTTTTTAAAAGTCATTACTTAAAAAAAAAAAAAAGAATATAATTTCTTAGCCAGTTGGATGACTTACCATTGTGAGGAAGAAGTGTACCAAAGTATTTGTCAGAAGTTGATAGATTTCCTGCTGAATTGATGTTAGTGACGTAAACTGACATTTTTTCCACGTCATATTTCTCAGCCTCTCTCTACCTTTCTGATTTTTGATTGTTTCCTTTTGGAGGAACTCAAAGAGTGCTGACATAAAGCAGCAGCAGCTGTTGCAGTGTTGCAGCATAACGGTGTTTGCAGGGAAAAGTTTAAGGTTGCTTTAAAATATGATTTGTAGCTTCCTTTCTTCTTCAGTGTCAGAATTCATACTTGCTGATACTAGAAAGGAAAAAATTTCCAATGCCTGCTCTTCTTAAAAAGGTGCAGTAAAAAGAAGTGTGTGCTCAAAGCTCAGGTGATCAGTGACAGGTCAGAGTTGGTGTTACATGAGGCTGTCAGAGTGCCTCTTCTGCTTCTTTTTGGCTTATTAAATGAAAGATCTATTGCTGTCCCGCTGAATAGTTCAGGCAGAGAGGGATTTGAATAGAAGCAAGCAGGTTTTCTCCATCCTCGAGGCTAATCTTTTCAGTAAGTCAGAAAGTCCTGATTAAATTCTATTTTCTATTTTTTTCTGTGTTTCAAGTTGTCATAGAAAACTACTCTGAGTAGTTTTTAATTTAAAATTAATATTTCTGTCTGTTTCACCAGTTCTTTCATAACTGTAATTTTTCTATTTGATATGACTTAAGCAGTACAGAGGGCAGTTTAAATGAGCTTTCCAATTACCCTTGTTAGCTTTACAAGATGATAACAAGCATTACAAGATGGCAGTGTCTGTATTTAGTGATTAGATATCTCTGAATGGAGTTAAATAAGCAAAACTGACTTACAAAGCTCATACATTTAATTGAAACACTTAAGGTAGCAATTTGCTGAAGGAGGAAAATATTTTTCATCTTCTCATCCTCCTGCTTGGTGGAAAAATAAGTATTTTGTTTTATATGGAAAGAATCTAGTGAAACACTTAGAAATAATAAACAATAATGAAGTCATAAACTAAACTATTTTTTTTTTTCACTTTGCAGCTTGTATATGAGTTTTTCATACGATTTTTGGAAAGCCAAGAATTTCAGCCCAGCATTGCCAAAAAATACATAGATCAGAAATTTGTATTGCAGGTAAGCCAGTATGGTTTCTTTAAGGTTTCACTTTGCTTTTGAAAAAAAAAAAAAAAAAAAAATTGCTTTGAAAATGTTTTGTTTGGGATTTGAAAGTATAACTTTATTTACAACAGAAAATGCTCAGCAAGCATTTACTTGAAAGTTGTCAAACTACAGAAATGGGAAGTATATCCACTGTTTGATCTCTGTAAACCTTCAGCAGGCATTGTTGAGTGCAACTGGGTGCCATTTTTCCACGTGGACAAATTCAGTGACACACCTTTGCTTGAAGAAAGGGCATTTGTGTGCCCTTTTGTGTCAGACTCCATTCTGTCAGACTTGCCCCTCTGCTGTCATCTGTCAAGTGGCAACAAAATATAATGGGTTGTTGGTGGAAAGGTTTGACCTCTACTGCCATACCACCAACATCTGCCTCTGAAGTTGTGGGTCAACATAATAAAATTGGAGGCATTACTTTGGATCAGCACTTGTATTTGACTTGCTCAAGGTAAGAATAAGCTGAAACAGTAACTGTTGAAAAATGAAAGGCACGTGTTCTGAAAATGCTGCCATCTAGAGACACCACAATTTAAATGTATCATATTATTGATAAAATATTTCTGTTGGAAGGGGAAATTTGTTTTTCTCTGCTGGAGAGCTGGCAACAAGGGCAGATATTCATTAACAGGCCTATTCCCAAAGCTATATCAAAAACAGTAACGCTGTAGAGCTTGGGGGGGAAGTAAATCAAAAAGCCATATAAAATTCCAGCTCTATTAAAAGCATGATGGAAGAAGTATCAGTAATAAACAAACTGGCAAAGAATGGGAAGTTCTGTTTGAAATTTGCTTGCCATTCTGGCTGAATGGATGAGGTGGCCACAGTCTGTCAGTGAGCTGGCAGCCAGATGGTTTACACATTTCATCTTCTTCCTCCTTCACTTCAAACTGTAGTAGTCAGTCTTCTGCTGAGGAAGTTTCTTCTAGGCCAGAACAGAGGCCAGAACAGAGATGGCTGAAGGGTGATATTTTCTGGGATAAGGCAGGAAACTTCACATATATGCTCCCTTTGCTTTTTCTCTTCAGCTTCCAACAATAGGCCTGTTTGTGTTTTGTGTTCCCACTGTGAATTCTTGTAGAACCACAAAATCAGAATCAGCTCCATGTTTAACACAGTCCATAACTTGCTTTTGAAATCATGGAAATTTGCAAATTTCCATACTTAACTGGAAAAGGGAATTTCCTGGGGTTTCAATATAATAAAAGCCCAACTAGAAATGGCTGGGGAAGCCCAGAATTGCTGATGACCTTACTCTCAACTCTGGAGTTTTGTTGTTTTTCTTCCTGTGATGCTTAGGCAATAAAAGCAGTAATTTGCTGTTTTTGTACAGTATTCACATAAAGAATACCTGAAGAATTTAGCTTAGGGAGTAATCGTTATCCTTAAATTGTAAGATTCAGGGATATCCTAATCACTTAAAGCTTTTCAAGGCATTCAGCCCTATTAAGATTTGGCAGTGGAGAATGGGTCTAAAACAAGGATTCTTAAGATCCCATCGGTCTTTATCTACTGAAAGGGAGAAGTGAGATATTTTGAAACCTACTTATCTGAAAACGTCTGATAAAATTGAAGTTTGGAAGAATTTGAAGAATTTGGAAGCTCTTGTCAGATGATGCATTGTTATATATTGCTTTGCACAGTTAAACATTCGTGTTTTTCTATCAAAAGTTCTGCAGAGCCTTATGTACACATGCAAAGAGGTATATTTCCCTGTTCACAAGTGTTCTCATTTGATTTTCAGGAACTTGGGTGTCTGTGCATTTCTTTCTGTATTTTTTGTGTGACGTGAGTTAACGATCAGTTTTTACTGATCACTTACACTGGAAACCAGCTTGAGACTTTTGAAACACCAGGCATGCTTATGTTTTGTGACACTGGCAGTACAAGTGTGACAGTTTTTATCATCAGTTTTCTCTCTAACGCAATTCGTTTTTTAATGCTAAGAGGACTTGAGTGAAGTGTTTCTTAGCAAGAACTGTGCTAATATGGGAAGAATGAGACAGATGTGGGTTGCTTTTTTTTTAAATATAGATGTGTAATTGGCTTTCAGCTGTAAGTTTTGATAAAATGTTGTACACTCACAGTGTGACTTCATTTCTGAAGCTTCATTGTATATAGTCTGCAGTGGTTGCTAAGAGGCACCATCGAAATATCCTCATGGATCTGTGTTACTGAAGGTTGCTATTTTGGAGGTTTTATTTCCCCTTTCTGTATATGTTTGGTGTCAGAGTAGTTACGTAAATCATAGAAGTCTTACAGCTTGTTAGTAAAAATAAGACTTTATTGTTGAAACCTGATAATGAATTGGACAAATCCAAATACGCATCTTTTCTTTTTAAATGAGAGACCAAGTCTGACTTCAGCAATGTTTCCACAGAGGATCTGTATAAAAGAACTGGAAATATTTATATTTTGCTCCTAAAAACAATCCAATGAGAATATTAAAAATAAAAGTGTTTCCAGCTGTTTGCTGTCTTTGGGTGAAATTTGCTATTTGGGGAAGGATGAAGTAACTGTTTATTTCTTTAACTATGGAACTAATTGAACAATGTGTTGATAACCTCTAGAGGGCAGCTGACAAACCCCATTTCCTCATGAAATTCCCATCAGAAATTCTTACTGCAGGGTTAAGGTAGGGGAAAAAATGTCCAGTGTGATGAAGAAGAACTCATACATCAATTATCAACCTGAGTATTAGAAAGCAAAATCCCAGAACGTTTAAAAAAATCTTTTAATCTTTGTCTGATTTTCTTTTCTCTTCACCTTCTCAAAATTGTGCACCAGTTACACAGAAATTAGACAGTGTACATGCACTTACATATCTCCTTATAATAGATAATTATAATTTATCTATCTGTGAATTGAGAATAATTTTGTTCTCTGCTGTTCCTGCCATGTTTTTCTGCCACCATCATAAACATTTTAAGGCCTGTTTGGCAAGCTGCCTTCATTTATTTTTCAAGATATGTACTGCTTGAATGTTACCTTATCTTGCTGCTCTTCATTCTCTCTTTTCTTTCTTACTACTTAAATTGCATTACATTCTGTGCAGTTCTACCTTTTTTTGAATAAGTTTTTTCTAATTCATTTGAGATGTCTGCAAAAATAGCAGATGTTGTAGTGTCAAAAAAGATGGAACTGAAAAGATAAGGTGAAACTCATACATTTGTGGTAGGGAAATAGATTGAAGAAGTGAGACTGGTGTTTTTGCTGCTTGTTTCATACCTTGGTTTTTAGAGGAAGCTTTAGAGAGCATATTTTGGGATAGATTTTGTACAGAACAACACACTGGCTAGTCTTCTCTTTTAGCTGAGAACCACGTAATTATTTTGCTGTTTTAGAATCTCATCTACCAGTTCCTAAGTAATCTTTTTTAATTTCTTTTTTCCTTTTCTTTCCTTTTTTTTCTTTTTTTTTTTTTTTTTTCTTTAAAAACTGGATATTGCAGTTTACATTTTGCTCAATCCTGACTGATTCTTTGATTTGCATTAATTGGTAGATATCCTGGGACAGCAGATCCAGTGCTGCCACAGACTGCACTGTTGAGTCCACAATCTGAAAGACGTGCAATCTCTAGAAGGGCTTAGGACCTTATATTATAAATGAAAATCATCTAGAATATGTCACCTTGATGCAAACTTATGCAATTAAAATGAAGGTCTGTTAATTCAGTGAGAAAATGAAAGTGGTAAGAAATAGTGTGTTACTTTCTAGATGTGACAGCATTTTTATTTTTTGGAGGGAGAGGGAGGAGGAAGACGGCAGCGATTGGGAGCCAGTTAATAAAAGTGTCTTAATTCTTTAAAGATTTCTAAATGTTTGTGCTGGAAGTTAAGGTCAATAAGTAGTGTTTTGTGGTGATGTACAGGGGGTTGCAATTATTATTTTTTTTAATAACTGTATTTCTGTACCTTGGGCAGTACAGATACTGAGTTCTTACATGCACCTACTGCAATTTAACTGCCATACGGAATTCTGTGTGCCATACTAGTCAAATGTAAAGCCTGTCTACAGTTTAACTTCTTTTTTTTTTTTTCTTTAAACACAGTTGTTGGAGCTGTTTGATAGCGAAGACCCTCGAGAACGGGACTACCTAAAAACAGTCTTGCACAGAATTTATGGCAAGTTTCTGGGTCTTAGAGCATTTATCCGAAAACAGATTAATAATATTTTTCTACGGTAAGCTGTGGGAGGAGACATTTTTCTCACATAAATATTGTAGTATGCTGATATGTTACTTATATTTAACTTTTTTTTTTTTTTAGATTTGTTTATGAAACTGAACACTTCAATGGCGTAGCTGAGCTGTTGGAAATTTTAGGAAGGTAAATGAGCCTTCATTACCAATATCAGGCTTCCCTTTTGGATGTGTCAGAGTAATTCAGACTTAGAAAAAGTATTGCTATAAACCCTGATTTTGAAAGTGATGTGTGCACGTGCTCATCTTTGAGCCCATCTCTAAGCAAATCTCTCTCCTGTCTTTGCCAGGAGTTCATATGTGGATGCAAGTTACAGGCAGGAGGATTGGATTGGTTTTGTGTGTGTGTTACGCTTCATCCTTATGCACTGCATATTTTTTTAAAGTACATTAGCAGTGTACTATTCACTACTAGAGTGAATATCTCATATACCTAATTATAATAACTTAATTACCAAAGAACGTGTGAATTTGCAGATTAAGCAGACACGTTCTTATCTGTTTAGTAGAAGGTTTGTGCAGTTGTTCGTGTGATGATTTTTAAGTTAGAGCTGAATTGTTTGTACTGTATAGATATGTGCTGAATTGCTGATATAAAGGAGGGCAAATTTCAGCATCTGTTTACAAATAACTTGAGCCCAATACAGGTGCTGACTCCTAAATGATTTTAATGTAGGAAGTTCTTGTTCAGATCTCAAGAATGTTTTCTGTGATGATAACACTAACAAATACTTCTCTTCTAATTTCTAGTATTATCAATGGTTTTGCTTTACCTCTTAAGGCAGAGCATAAACAGTTTCTGGTGAAGGTGCTGATTCCTTTACATACTGTCAGAAGTTTATCACTCTTCCATGCACAGGTAGAAGTTATAAAAATATTTTCTGCTCAGTTAGAATTCTATAATTTTTTAGTAACTTTGGAAATTTAATTGCTGAGTACATTAAAGGTGGGGGAAAAGTTTTGTAAAGTGGGAAAATGCAGTAGATTTTCATATTCATTTACTGCATTTTTTTAAGACAAATACTTTTTAGTCTGATTAGATAATTAAAAATGTAACCGACGTCTGTAATACTTTCAACTTTTGTAGTTAAGCTCTCTTTAGGCTTTCGTTTCTGTTCTTTCCTCATTCTCACAAGGCTGTCTTTCCCATTCTGCAATCCCCTTTCTCTGTCCCAAGAGGATGTTCAATTTTCCTTAGTCTTGTGCTCTCTGGGCTCTTCTTCACTCTGGCAACTTTCTGAATACTAATGCCTTCGCTCCTGCATGATCTTCAATGTGTTCCTTCACTGACTTGATGGCACGTTTTTGCTCTCTTATGTCCTGTCATACCTTCAGCTGTCATGATGACATTTTTCCTCTGATAAGTGATACCTGCTCCATTTCTATCTCGTTTTCTGATAGATTTCTGATAAGATAATCTTTCTTATACTTTCAAAGCCACACATGCTAAATATGTTACTCAGGGTTTTAGCTGTGCCAGCTCATCTTGTGAGTTTTCACAATTTTACCAATATACAAAACATGTAAAAAGAAGCAATTTCAGAGATTAACAAAATCTTATAAACATTGTGTCACTGCATTTTGAACTCCAAGTTGCTCTGAATTTTAATTGTATGTGATAATTTGTCATGTGAAGATTTTTGTAATGTTTTTCTTTCTTTATTATTCCCTAGTAACTTGAATTTAAATGGATTTATGGATGCATTTAATAGATTAAATGCAACCTATGCATCTCAGTTTAAATATTTGGCTGATTTTGAGAAAGCTGTGTAGCATCTTGCCTACAGTCTCTCTTTTTTTTTTTTTAAATGTTTGTCTGCAATTTCATTATAATGTTCTAACTTTGTTTTCTTAAATCTTTACCTCTTCACAGCTGGCATATTGCATAGTACAGTTTCTGGAGAAAGACCCCTCACTCACAGAACCAGTAAATATTTTTCATATTTTTTTCCATGATGAACAGCTTATCCTGTTGTGAAGAATGTTTAAAAAAAAAAATAATCTAACTTCTTTTTCTTCTAATTTAGGTCATCAGAGGCTTAATGAAATTCTGGCCGAAAACCTGCAGTCAGAAAGAGGTAAATGAATTACTGCAGTTAACAAAAAATGTAAGAGTTAGTTTGCTGTACAGTATGATATGCAGTGAACATTTAGGTATTTCCAGACAGATTGTACACGCTGTACTGGATCTTGATATTAATCCGTGCAGTTGATGTGTTTGTTTTTTTTTCTGGACAGTTCTGACTATAAAGAGAAAAGCTTCTGATAGCTGTAGTTCCTACTCATGAAATAAACTCTAGCTTTTACACAGATTTTGATTTAGATAGGAGAGAATAAATATATTGAGGACTAATTTAAAAAACTCTGATTCGGAATTTTTTATATTTGAAAATGCTGTGTTACCTACCAAACTTGTAAAAGATGCTGTTAAATGTTTGCATATTTGTTTAAAATTCTAAATGCAAACCTGAGATTTCCTGAGATTTTGTGACTTAGAGAAACTGTTATTTTGAGTATTACTTTAAAAATGGAGATAAAATTCTGTTATGTGACTCTCCTTACTTACCAGGTATGAAGACTTTCTAGTCAAAGCACGCATATCCTGGTGCAATTCTGAAGTTTGTTTTAAGTGATTACTTTACATACAGCATTTGCACTTCGGTATCTTTTTCTGACACTAGAGTCAGAAGTTGTCATGTTTTTTTTGAACGAGATTCTTGATGAGCTTACATTTTTCCCTAGAGGAGAAGTTGAAGGTATGCAGCATTTTACTGAGCAAGATAATTTAGAGGTTTTTTTAATTCAATTTTTCCTTCCTTGTCTGTAGGTCATGTTCCTAGGAGAGCTGGAGGAAATCTTGGATGTAATTGAACCATCACAATTTGTCAAAATCCAGGAACCCTTGTTTAAACAAATTGCCAAGTGTGTCTCTAGCCCTCATTTTCAGGTTAGTGGTGAAGACAATTGTTTGTTTAGGAATGTGTAGTCTCAATTTCTAGCATAACACCTCTTCAAATGTAGATACCATTTTATGTTATTTTAAATACTTGTCTTCTGGATTCCTACGTGGAAACTTATGTTGCAGTAGAAGTTCAATTCTGAGCTCCATGATGAAGTACGTTTGTGGGTTACAGCACAGAACTTGCAGTTTGGAGCTACATGAGGCTTTAAACTGTGTCCCAACTGACTTTGAGTCCTTACAGCTGTAGGTGATAGACACTGATTGTATGGCCTTCAGATTTGTAGGCCCAGCGGGATTTATTTGCTCCCATTTTTAAGTGCAGCACTGTGCAGCATTTTTGTTCTCCTTCCTCCTTCGTTCTCTAAGGAGATCTCTGGTTAGAGGTGATAGGTCCCATAGACCACTTTCTTTCTTGCATGATAGAAAGAAGGGGGATGAATAGGAATTAAATTTAATCATGAAGAGGAGTTAGGATTCGTGGCCTGTATCATCTACATATTAAGCTATGTGATCTATCCTTACATAAAAGAAGATAGATTATTTGCTTCATTCTGTAATGCTAAGACTGACTCTCAGGAATCCCAGACCTTAGAGATAAAAAAAAAAGAGCATGGAGAAAGGAAGACTTCCACTTTGTTGAAGAGGATCTGATTAGAGACAAAATAAGCTTACATGATTCTCTGGGCCTTAATGGGATGCACCTACCAAATACTGAGGGCGCTGGCAGAAGTGATTGCTAAACCACTTCGCTATCATCTATGCAAGGTCATTGAGAAATGGAGAGCTGCTAGCAGACTGCAGGAAAGCCAATGTCACTCCAGTCTTCAGAAAACGCAGTGAGGAGAAGGAGGGCCTGGGAAACTACAGGCCAGTCAGCCTCTCCTCATCCATGGAAAGGTGATGGAACAACTTATTTTAAATGTTATCTCCAAGCAAGAAGGTTATCAGGAGTAGCCAGAATGGGATCACCAAAGGAGAAATCATGCTTGACCAACGTGGTAGCCTTCTGTGATGTCATGACTGGCTGAGTAGATGAGAGAGCAGTGGATGTGTAACTTCAGCAAGCCTTTCGACACTGCCCCCCATGACATCCTAATAGGTAAGCATAGGAAGTGTGGGCTGGACGAGTGGACAGTGAAGTGGATAGGGAAAGAAGAAATAGCTGATCCTGTCCAGCAAGTTTGCTGATGAAGCAAAACTGGGAGGAGTGACTGGCACACATCAGTAAGATTAGAGGCTTACCTGCTGGTAAGGATCCCTTTCTTTCTCTGTCCTGGTTGGCCATGAGCTAGCAGTGTGCCCTTGCAACCAAGAAGACCAGTGGTGTCCTGGGGTATATTAAAAAGCACGTGGTCAGCAGGTCGAGGGAGGTTGTTCTCCCCCCCTTTATTCTGCCCTAGTGAAGCCTCATCTGGAGTACAGTGTCCAGTTGTGGGCTCCTGAGTTCAGGAAAGGGCACTGCTGGAAAGAGTCCAGCAGTGGAGGATTACGAGGATGATTAGGGACCTGGAACAGATGTATCCCCTTATGTGAGGATAGGCGGTGAGACTCAGGGCTGTTCAGCCTGGAAGAGACTGAGAGGGGATCTTATCAAGGCTTATGAAAGGATGGGTGTCAACAGTATGGGGCCAGGTGCTTTTCAGTCCTGCCTGGTGACAGGACAAGAGGCAATGAAGGCAAACTGAAAAACAGAAAGTTCCATATGAACATGGAGAAGAACTTCTTTACTAAGAGGCTGACAGAGCTTTGGAACAAACTTCTCAGAGAGGCAGTAGAGTCCTCCTTTTCTGGATATATCCAAAACCTGCCTGGATGCTTTCCTGTGCAACTGTTATGGGAACCTGCTTTAGCAGGGGGTTGGAGTGGAATCACAGAATCACTGTGATTTTGTGATACAACTGCTATAGGCTCTTTCCTGGATGACATCTGTTTTTAGTACAGTGTAGATGTTTTCTCTTCTAGTTCCCAACTGGCCCCTCATAATGATTATTGTAATTAGTACCTTGCCCGTGTTTAAGATCTCATCTCCCATATTTAGCCCAGCTACTGGACATAACACAGTTTCCTTTGTCTTGTATGCTAATGCTGGTCTGATCCTTCCATCTGGGAAATCAAAGGTGGAGGGGAAGAGGAGGTGGAAAAGTTGTTCCACTGTCCTTTCACTTCCAAAGCTGCAGTATTGTATTATCTGCACTTGGTCTGTATTGATTCTCAATATATTGTTCAGGAGTAAGAGAGGGTAGATACTGTGGGATCTGAATTACAGTATAAAAATTTGATTTCATTAATATAGATTATATTACTGATAAAAATAGTCTTAATTCCAGAGCTAATTCATTTGAATGAAATTTCTGTGGTTTGTTTTTGCTTCAGATTATTAGAAATACAAGTACATGAATTCCTGTTAATATTTTATTCCTTTGACTCAAAGGTGGCTGAAAGAGCACTGTACTATTGGAATAATGAATACATCATGAGTTTGATAGAGGAGAATTCAAATGTCATACTTCCCATCATGTTTTCCAGCCTTTATAGGATTTCTAAAGAGCACTGGAATCCGTAAGTTCTTGCAATTAAATTTAAAATTACCTCTTGTCAAACTACTGATCAATTTAGGAAGTATGTGCTGAAGATTGTCAGAATAGGAGATACCCAGATTCGAAGCTGACATGAGCAGGTGCAGCTCTGTTAATGCCAATATAAATTAGAGCATGCTTGAGCTTGGCTCAAAATGATATTAATTATCTGGTACGTGTATGAAAATCAGTACCTCGGGGGATAAAAATAAACCTTCTCCGTAAGTTAAAAGAAAGAAAAATTAGGTGTTGTATTGTTATTGAAGAAAAAGTGTTGCCCATCAAGCGTTTCTCATAAACAGCTGGTAAATGTGTTGTCTAGAATAATGATGCTTGGCATTAATAAAGCTTTGTAGCTGTATCGTGGATGGTACTGTTCCCTCTGGTACCAGCATTTTTCTGAATGTTTATGGAGCATATAAACATCCTTTTTTTTTTTTAGGTAGTGTTTTTTTTCCTTCTAAATTTATTTAAATACATCTGTTCTCCATTGGGCACAGATTAGTGGCTTCCTATTGATATTTTGCTTTCTTGTTTTTGAACAAAATTTTCTAGTAGTGTAATGAAAAACATTGTTACAGTTAGATATCATGTATTCTATACTTGGGTTGAAATGTTTGTTAAGCCAAACGGATTGCTGTTTAGTAAACCTGGTATTTTTAATGAGCTGTACTGTGCTCAGATCCCAGTTACTTTGCTAAGATCTTCCTGTAAAGTATTTGTAAGCTATTTCATCTTCTGCTCTGTGTTCTACACCTTTCAAACCCTCAAGTTCGTGTGCTTTCATCACAAATCTAATGCTACTGGAAACCTTCCATGGTAAAGGCTGGTTACAGAAAGACATTTTAAGTGGCTTGCTGCTGCACTGAGGGTCTGAAACCTTCCAGCACTCTGTCCAGCCTTTTGTGCTACATTCTGGGGTGCTTCAAGTCATCAGGACATGCTAGCCCTTCACTTCTCAGAGTGTTCATACCTACAGGAATGTTGTACCATTAGCAGGCAAACCAGATTAAGAAACTTGTTGAATCAAGAAGATATTTTAGGAATCTTTATGTGTATTAAAACATTAATAAATGAGGACAGCAAAAGTGATAGTTTATTGGAAATATGCGAATGGTAGACAGGAGAATGTGGAAATGTCACATTTGCTATGTAGTTTAGCTCCAAATGTTGCTAGCACTTGCATTCATGCCTGCTGAAGAGCTGTTTCATAAGCAGCCATGTGTCTGAATATGACACCTGTAGCATTGGATCAGGAATCAGGATTTCTTGATTAATAATCTGTTCAAATTTTTAAATGTTTTTGAGCTTTGTTTCCTTCCCTTCTCTGTTGCTATGTTGCTTTTTTTATGTTGAACTCTGCTGGAGAGGAATTTTGAACTCTAGATAAATCAGACTAATAACAAACCCCTGTTACTTTGGAGATACTGTTATATTTTAGCCTATCTTTGTGTGACAGACTGTCTTTGCAGCCTTTTTGAAATTACTAGCATTGTACATCATTTCTCCCTGTAGGAACAGGTCCTGTTTTATTCAGATAAGCAACTGGAATCAAAATGAGCAGTGGTGTATTGACTTCTGTGTTACAGCAATAAGCAAAGGCAGCAGAGGTTTATTCATACACTATATACTGCTTTGCGTAGATGTGGCAACATTGCATCCATAGCACTTGTAGTGGTGTTTTTTTTTTTTAATTAATAATTTTTTTAATGTACCAAAGTGAAAGTGAACATGAAATGTAATGATACAAGGACAGCACTTTTGAAATAAAGCCTTGTATTTTGCATGGAGGCATGGATTATTCAGCTTGATGGAAGAATTGTAAGGAAATATGAATCATACCCTTTTTTGTTTCAATTCTGGTACTTCTGCAAGCAATGATTTTAATCCCTGGAGTTGCACTGAGAATTGCTCAACATCATGAGGGAGGAGTCTATCGTTATTTCTAACAGCTTTCTGTTGTTACCTTTTACCCTAGATGTTTGCTTTGCCTCATGTAAGTAGTTATTAGAGTTATCAAGAACTGATTCATACCTTTAAAGGTGTTAATCAAGTAGTTTCACTGAAATAAAAATTCGCATATTTGCAAGAGCAGAGTTGATCACAGAACTGCTGGTAAGAGAAGATAGTTTTCTTTTTGATTTCACCTGAAACTAATCAATTCCTTTCTTCTATTTTAATGTTTCACAGGGCTATTGTGGCTTTAGTCTACAATGTGTTGAAGGCATTTATGGAAATGAACAGCACCATGTTTGATGAGCTGACAGCCACTTACAAGTCAGATCGTCAGCGGTAACTTTTTAAAGCTTTTTTTGTCAGCTGTGCATAAGGACTGCTGTTTAGATTTTCCTTTGCACTCAGCTGCAATTGCAAAATCTCATACATAATTCACACAATGCTTGTATTTTTCCCTATGTTCTCTTTAGCTTACTGTTTGCAAGTTGTGAGAGAATGTAATGTATAAGTTGATCTTTACCCCTTATAACACGTGGTAATTATTACATAGCTTGGGAAGTTTCAGGAAACTCCTTTTGACATTGTATTCCAAAAGAATTAGATGTATTAAGCTATTTCCATCTAAACACTGGGGAGCACTTCTTAACTGTGGTCAATGGAACACGTTGCTCGGAGTGGTTGTGGAGTCTCCATGCTTGGAGATGTTCAGAAGCTGCCTGGTGGTGATCCTGGGCAACTTGCTGTGGGTGGCCCTACTTGAGGGGATACATCAATGGTCTCCAGAGGCCCCATTTGACCTCTGCCATTCTTTGTTTGTGTGAAGCTTTTCAATGATAAAAGAAAACAAGTGTTTTAAGATACCACTGTGCTTCAAGACTTTAAAACAAACACTGAGATTTGGAAAGAGACATGAGGAAAATCCGCATATTTTGATTTTCCAAATCAGTGCTTATAGACTAGATGTTGTCTTAAAGCACAAAGGCATCTTTCAACTTTTTTGATTCTTAATCTGCTTGATCTGAATCTTTGTGCTTGTGCAATCCATTAGGTACACCACTCATTTGTTCCAACCCAGTTGTATGCAATTTGTCTGTTTTCCTATGTTCCTTCATATTCCAATTATTGTGCAGAGATTTAGCCCATCCAAAGTAGCAGATTAAAAAAAAAAAAAAAATAGAATTCAGGAACTCTGAACTTTTGTGTGACTTGGAGTTCCCACAAGCAAAGCAAAGGATTCTGAAAGTCATAAAAACTTGCTATGTTAGTAGTCTCTAAAGTCTCTTGCAGTCTATCGCTTTAGAATTGCGTGTCTGGATTCATGCTGTTGTCTGTTATGCTTCATTGCTGTAAAATAAGAAGTTTTATACATGAAAAATCCACAGGTGAACTAATAAAGCTTTTTAAACTTAAAACCTCAGGTCTGTGAGCTAGGACACATGAATTCTAAGTAGCTGATGATAAATAAGGTTCAATCTGCTAGAACAGCTGAGGCAATACCATGTGGCTTTCTAGCACACAAAAGAGGCTGAGAATCTCAGGACTGGTCATCTAATCCAGACATTTTCAAGTCACCTCAGTGACTTAAATCAGTGTCATTTGCACTTTGCACCTTGAGATGAGGAACTCGGCTCTTAACAGAACGGGGCACCGGTGTAGTATGTTCCATGTTTGGACAACTAATTATCATCTTAAAGCATGTAAATAACTGCACGTGTAAACAGGGACAATTAATTAATGGATGTTTAAAGAAAAAAAATAATGTTTACAGAAAAACTTAATTGTATTAATAAAGCAACATTTTTAAAATGTATCTTTAATACTACTTAAAGCTTGAGGAGAAAAATGTTCAGTATTAATGACTATGCTAGGTCAGATAGGTAAGTTGGATGAGGTTATCATCATTTCAGAGCCTTTCACTAAGCAGGCATCTATTTTATAATGATAAGATAATAACTATCTGGTAAACAGCCTGAAAATGTCAGGCTATTTCATTTATTCTTGTGATACTGTGTTTCAGAGACAGTGGGCTCTATTTTGCTTTAACTGATCTTCAGGGACTTAGATAAAAGTTGCTTTTCTTTTTTTGTGTGCTGAAAATACTTTAACCAGATGTTGACATGGCAGCTGAGTTGAGATATGTAGGAATAGTATTTCTAATCCACTGAAATATTTTTAGGAATTCTGTAATTTGATGATAGAGAATCTGTATCTATTATTGTTAGCTTTTCATTTCATCTGAACATGCATGGTGATGCCGTAGAAATGGGATGCATTTTGCATCTTGAAATGCAGGGAAATTTATTCAAAAGAAGCTACAGCAGAAACTGGAAATTTAGAAAGCAAATAATGCAGGTAAAGCAAATATTAGCTCAGCTGTTTAATTTTAACAAAATAGCCATGAAAGCCTGTTGTTAAAGAAAATACTACATAGAATTTGGTAGGGGGGGAAAAAAAAAAGTAAAGCACTGGCTAAAAGATGCATCTTGTGTCTGAACTTTGCTGAGGTATATGAAAGCCCTGAGTAAAGAAACTTGAAAATAACAAAATGCAGATTAGCAATAATAATGATATTTGGTCCATAATAGAAGTCCATGTGTGTTTTTTTTAATTTATTTCTTATTGCAGAATAGCATGTGTAAGCACTATTTTATTTTATCCTAATACTTTTTTAGTAGTACTTACATAAGCAATGAAAAGCAAAAGCAAAAAAAAAAAAAAACCCTTAAACAAGAAAAAGTATAGGAATTACAAAATATTAAATAAAATTAGTACTGCTAATTAATGTCATTTTTACAGAAATATTTATTTTTGTCTGCTAACTCTTTGTTTTGTTTCATCTGTCAGTGAGAAGAAGAAAGAAAAAGAGCGTGAAGAACTGTGGAAAAAACTGGAGGATTTGGAATTAAAGAGAGGTCTTAGACGTGATGGAATAATTCCAACTTAACAAAAAAACAAAACAGCATTATTAACCTGTGGAGTCACACATTTATGTAGTAGAAGATGGAGCAACAGTTTTCTGTATTGTGCAACTTTACAGTAGATTTCACATTTGTTTCATTATTACAACAGCACTGTATATACCTGTCTCTAAGTAAAGGAAAAAAATAAGGACTTTAATCCAAAGTTTGGACAGCAGATGGACTTCTCAGAACTTTGCAAACATAATCATTGTTTTAACCCTTCTTTAAAACCAGTCTTCAAAGATCTGTTGATGAAAATTGCAATGTCAGATTTCATTGTCAGGACCTGTTCCTTATTTATCGTTAGCAGAGAGTATAATACAACTTTCAAATGTGAACAATCTTAAAATTTAGCTTGTCTTTCTGCTAAACTGTTAAGTGTATTTATAGTAAAAGAGAAAAAAGACTGTCATTTCCTTATGAGTTTGTGTAACATCCTCCTTCTCTGGATAACTTTACTGTAATTTGACTTTTTTTTTTCTTTCCTTTTGCACATCTTCATAAGTTGAATGTCCATTCAGATCAGGGCCATGAAAAAAAACAAAAGCATAGGTCCTGAATAAAAGTTTTGTTTACTGATGTGAGCATTTTTTAGTACCAGTCTGTCTCTGGTGCTTCTTTAATTTGAACATTAGGAGCTAAAAAAACAAGTAGGTGATAAACATAGTAGGAAAGGGAGCTTTGGATTCGTGCACCTATTTATTGCAAATCCAAATTAGTGTCCACAATCCTTGAAAAATGGACAGTGGTAACAGCTTAGATTTCAGTACCTAACCAGTATTAGTGTTACAGCATTGGACACACGTACCAGAGCTGTTTTAGAAATACTAATTCCTAAATTACTACAGTATGTTTTTATTGGACCATTTTGAAAGAATAAAGACAAACGCTAAACAGTGCAAGCATGAAATTGATCTCCAGTGGTCATGGATCTAACTGGGAAATGAGTTGAGATAGCAGTTTGGACTGTTTGGAGTTGTTGCCTTACTTTTTAATATGTATTTATAAAGTGTTCCAGCAAAAGAGGATGTAGCCTCTAAGAAACATACTATAGTGTTTTTGTGGTTCTAGTACTATTATTACTCATCACAGTACCAGCCCTATGGTCTTAGCTGGAAAGGATTCTGGATAATATACTTCTGCATTCTCATCTGGATGCTCATTCCTAACTACTGTATTTGTTACCAAAAGTGGTTCTACAAATGCTACTGAAAAAAAATTCTGGAAATCCTAATGTTCTGAGTATTAATAATAAAGCTTTTATATCAAAGGTGCATTGTGACCAAATTGTTTAAAACAAAAGAAAAAAAAAAAAAAAAAAAAAAAAAAAAAAAAGAAGAGGGCTGTATTATAAGTATACATTATTGGCTATCTGCTTTGTATTTGAAAGTGGAATTTACATCTTTGGTAGGTAAAATGCTGATAAAACTTATGTACAGTAAATATTTAGCTAATGCAGTTGCATTATTATATACCGAAAGGTATGTGTTTCAGGATTTTACTCCAGGATGCTTTTGAACTGTTACGGTCATATGACAACAGTGAATTGATAATCCTAAACCATCAATCCAGCAGTATTTACAGTATAAAACTGAATTGGTGTTCCTGAGTCTTTGTGATAGTTGCAAACATGAATTTATGACCTGTTGCCATTGATAGAAATACAATATAAATACATGCTTGTATATTTTTCTTCCTACCATTTAAGTATACAGTAGGATTTGAAGTTTTCTTGTTTCCAGGCACGGAAAAGAAGAGAGGAAAAAAAGCAAAAAAGCATTCCCTCCTTGACTACTGACTGTTTCGGGACTATCAGGTCACAGTTTGTACTCCTGGGTCTGCACACACAGATATGTTGTAAACTCAACAGTTTTGTAAAAACTTGGCACTGTTAATTCTGGGACAGGGAGAAAAAAGAAATAAGGTGGATCTAGTCATATGCAACTCCCAACACAACATGGTTTAATGGGATTAACGAGCTTCTAAGAACACTGGCTGGGACGCAGTGTAAATTAGACAGTTACTGTCATAGTTGAAACATTTTATTTTGAAGTGCTGAAGCAAAGGTGCAAGCTGAGATACTGAAGATTAAATAAATTTATAATGAATCACGTCCCTTAGCCCGTTGATTTTGACAGTCTTTTATTTCTGTTACAAAAGAAATACTAACTAGTGCGATTTCTGTGTGAAATTATCACGATTTACAAGAGGATGGATTGAATCATGCTTAAAGACTGATTGTGAAAAATTGAGATATAATGGAAATTTAAAAAAGAAATTTTCCACCTGGTGGAGTAAAGCAGAACGATGTGAAATTAGAAAAAGCACCTTGTCCTGTACTTAGAGTTTAGGTGAGTGTTGTTTGTTCACAACTTTATGGTTTTGACATGACGTTCTGGTGTTGATCATACACAACTGATGAGAACCTGATGGGTTGCAATATCTTATTACCTCTGATGTGGGGATAGCGGGGAGCGTCTAAAGCTTGTAGATGATTTATCACTTCCAAGAAGGAATGTTTCTCTGAGCGGAATGGGACAATGTGCTCTTAGTCACGAGACTCTAAAAGGCTGATGAGACCTTAGGTTGCACTTTGTGGTGCCCTCTGTGGTGTATGTGAAGAAGCACTTGCCACAATGACCTGACTGTACCCCCAGGGTACGCTGTTTGCCGCAACCCGAATGCGATACTCTGCCACTGTACAGAGCTCCCTTTGGGATCAGTTGGAGCTTTAGGCAAAGAAGAAGGCAGCAAATGGGCCCAAGTGTGATCAGTGCGTCTATTTATAATTGTGCTTTCGTTTGCTTGTTGAGTTCCAGAAACTACCTTTATTTGTGTAAATGTTGTTGTTAACTGCTCTTAGAGCAGTGGTTGGGTGATGGCTGGTGTCCTGTGCCATATTGGTTTCAGGAGAAAGGATTGAATGCTGTCTGCTAAAAGGAAAGAACTGCATTTTCAATACAAGGGCATTGCATCAGGTCATGGGGATACGACGACTGTAAAAGTAAAGTTCCTCTCATATACTTTAAATTGAGCACATATTGCTTTTTTCATCTTGCAAGTCTCCCTTATTGTTTTCCTTTCATTGATTTTGAGTGTTTTTTGTCTCTCTTCCAAAGGTTGGAATGCTTTAAATAAAAGTATTCTAATGCCATTGGATCTTTCATTAGTACATTTAATCTTGGTTTTCTTAGCATAAATAAAAGGGTTTAATTTATTTTTTATCTCCTCCTATATATGGAAAAAAAGCAAGGCTGTTGGAGCCAAGAATTGCTTGAGCAAGAAAAGCAGCAGCTGTGTGTACGTTATACATGTGTAAGTACAGCCTCAGGCTCTCCTACTCTAAGGAAAGGAAAATATATTAGGAGCTATAAAAACCTCTATTATTTTGTGAGGAGAGGGGAAAAAACTGAGCAGATTTTTCTCCCCCCCAAATAAAACCAAAATGAATTGGCTTTAGTTCTGTCTTTAAAAGCAAAGATGGCATTTTCTCTTGATCGTGTGACTGTCCTCACAATGCAGTCCCCTAAAAGATGATAAAGCTGATGAAGAGCAAGATTGCAGAGTGTTCTTATTTATGTGTGACTTTACTTAGGCTCATCTGCTTCCCTTACCAGCTGTATCGTGTGGCACAAATTAGTTTTCCTAGTCGATAGGTGCAGCAGATTTTGCATTGCCCAGTTTTTCATTTAAAGTCTACGACATCTTGAAGTGGGATGGAACTAATTTTTCATTGAAAACTTTAATCCCAGTGTCGCTTCCCATCCACAGAAGCACGCGCTTCTTATCATGACCCCTGAATACATGTTTTTGTTATTTGGATCACTTACTGTAAATACGTTGTATTCATAACCTCATGTAAAATGAGGAATTTTCAAATATAAATAGTACCAATACATTTCTTGTTGTTGGCCTATTTTTGACTGTAGTATAGCGAATGAGCTGTCATGCTTTTTGTTTAAAAGTTAGCATTAGATTCATAGATCTGAATATTTTAGCATTTCATTGTTTAAGCAGGAGAGGGCAGCAGAAGTTCATTTTTCCCCATAGGAATGCTCTGGTCCATTACTGTTTTTAAATTTAGATGCATTTAACTATTTGTAGGTGGGAGGGGGGAGGGAAGGAAATGAAACATTTTTTATATTATATTAAAAGGTGCATATGAAAATATAAAGACTGGTCCAACCAGACCGTGAACACGTCTTCTACTTACATCAAAGTAATAATAACAATGCCTTCCACCTCTGGATAAAGTACAAGCAGGTCTTAAGCTCTTGGATTCAAATGTCATTCTTTGGAAATAGTTTACTTTCTTAAAAATGGTATCAAACAAACTCGAACTCAATGGTGCTCCCAGCTATACATGTGTAATCTTCCTCTTATGCACATGCTCAAGAGGCTCTGTACTGTGGGTGCATCTAAATAAAGAAGCAATGAAGTGTTTATCAGGTGCTTGGCTTTTTTTTCCTACCTCCTCCCATCTAAACTTCATCTACCTTTTCAACAGAGAACTTTCAGCTACCAGCTGTCCATTCTTATGTGCTTATGTCCTTATGTGTGTAAGGACAGTACTCTAAGAAAAAGAACACCCAAAAAGGAGGTAACTTATGTTTCTGGCAGAATTGCCAGCACAGATTAGTTTTTGTTACCTATTTTTCTTTAAAGGTCCTCTCATGATGATGAGCATCCTTGTGCTGCATGCAATCAAGCCTGTAAAGAAGGTAAAGAGCAGTGGAGACAGAGGGCAGACATTAGATTCACACTGTGTCCTTTGTAAGCCATCTGACCCTTACACTTTGCAGCTGGTGAAGGAACAAGACTTAACGTTTGTCGCATCGTTCTGCTGTTTCAGTCCTTGTGCTGCTCTGCGTTGCGTTGTGGAAGTGAGGAGAAAAGTTTAAGATGGTTAATTATAAAGGAAGCAGCCTCTGGAGGGAACTGAAGGTAGAGCCAGGTGAGGGGTAGTGCTGATGAGCTGCTTTAGCAATAAAGCTGGATCAATATTTATTAAACTGATTCCAAAATATTATTTTTCCTAGGTGAGTAATTTTTCCACTAGCGTAATTCTTTACATTTCTTTCCATTTTGACTTTTTTTCCAAATTCCATTTTCAGCAGTTGGATCTGCCTTTGTTAGCAGAGCTCTTTATCAGAAATCTCTTTGGTACTTGTAAGACTGTATTCAGATCACTTTTCCTCCTTCTGTCTCTCTGGTTCCTTACTGCAAGGCAAGTATTTTCAAAGAAGCACAACAAAATCAGAACACGCAGTAAGTTGGCCTTCAGGGTAGGATTTATCTCCAGTAAACGCAAATTATAAAGCAATCTTTAAAGGACTGGAATTAAAAACTTAGTTTCCCGATTCTTGTAACGATAATTGCTTTGCTAATTTTTCACCTTTTGTCTTTCCTTCTCAGGAGTGTTTTCATTTCTCATGTAATATCTGAGCTCCTAGTTTATCTTGCATTAAGTTTGGATCCTAGATCACAAGCCCATGGCCTACAAAAGTGCTTGCAGGTAAAGGCTGTTCCCAAGTCTCTGTTCAATTGTTGCTTCCATGTACAGTAAAGCTGGGTTTTAAACTGGGAACTGAGATACACTCTTGCAGTGTGAATTCAGAGCTATATGTATTTAAAGATTAAGTGCTGAAACCAGAGTGAGTATCCTGAATTTGTTAGTAATACATTGATAGGAACTGTATGAACCCACAGTGAGTCACGACATCACATGAAAAATGGTGGAGAGAAACTTTATTATTTTTCCCGAGTGATTTTTAGTTTGTTTTGTCTAGTTAATGCTTTTCTTCACTGGAATCTCAGAAGATTCAGGAGGCTAGAAATAAGATGTATGGAAATCGTGGTGTATTTTTAAAAAATATTTTATATTGCTGGGCAGTGGCCTGTACCTTTGATACGCACACGAAATGTGGAAATGTGTTTTGCATTGACCATGAAGCTGGGAAGGTCCTGAAAAATAGAGCATGGGGAAGGGAAAGACAGTTAAGGTACCCTATGTGACTTCTGAAACTTGTTTTCAAAGTTTTCACTGTGACACCAGCTGTGACAAGTTTGTGATATTGCGTGAGGACTGCAGTTCACCACAGAGCAAGCAGCAGCCCAGGAGGCAGCATTTGCAGAGCAGTTGTCTTGTAGGGTGCTGTGCTGAGGTTATGCATGCCAGCCTACTGGCCAAAGCACCATGAAGCTCAAGAAGAACTGGTCTAAATAAGGAAGGAATGTAGTGAATTGGACTATGGATTTGCTCATGTGTTGCCTCTCTGATTTTGTGATGGCTCCCATGAATGTCCACAGACTTCATCAATTCTGCAGCTAAAATACATCAGTGGAAAATAGCTGTGCACGTGAATATCTGAAACAAAAATGGGCATCTCTGTTATGCAGTCCTCAAGTCAGGCATCTTGGAAGCTGTAAGCTGAAGCCTGCTGTTGGTACATCTCAGAGTAAACTGAAATTTGGCAAAATGCAGCCTTGATTTCTGAAGCAAGGACACGTGGAATTCAGACAGTAGTAATTAGTCTATTAGTCCACAGACTATTTCACAGACACAAAGGGATATTATCGCTATTTGCCATGCATGACACTCATCAGACAGTAATTGTTCACATGGTTAGTGATTATTTCAAGCATCAGTTCTGGCGAGACTGGAATTACCCCAAGGAATACAAAGGAGAGAGCGCTTCCTGCTGCTTCTACTCACATCATCATCACCTCAAATGATGCCAGCCTCCTGCTCAAGGCTCCTCCAGCGCAGCCAGGAGTGCTTGCAATGGGCCAAAGCTTAAAACCTGTTCTGTTCAGAATTGTCCTTTAGGGGAGAGGTTGATGGCCAGACCAGTGGGTATTTTGGCCTTACCCAATGACACGTCTTTCTGTGTGGTGAGCTAAATGTGGGGTTTTTTGAGTGGCCTTCAGGAACCTTGTTCTAAAAGGACCTTGTGATGTAGCTCTGCTTTAGCAGAAACTGTTGAAACATTTATTTTCAAATTAAATTCTATTTCTGTAATGGCTGTGCCAATGGATTAACTCTCCAAAATTTCCATCCTGAGCCATTAAATGACTTCTCACCTACTGTGCATCCCACTGCTATCTCTTTGGTTATTCA